GCGGGTTCGAATCCCGTCCATGGTCCGACTTTTGCTCACAACAGCATTCTTGTGATACCTTACAAATTTGTATTGAATTAACTTCCATGTAGTTCCGAGAGGATCATTTATTTGCTTCCTTGTTCTGAATTGGTTCCTTTGTGTGAGGTAGTTTTCTGGTCTCTTTTCAAGTCTGGGGCGAACGGTTTTGTGGTAATCGGAGTAACCTTCAACCTGCTTCCCCTGGAATTTTTTTGAGGCTTTACTGGGAGCAGTTAGGTGGTGGAGCTTTTGCTGGTTCCCATCGATCACTGCCGATGCCCCTAGTGGAGACCAGCACTATCTTGGCGATTCTTTTCCGTCTGTGCTCTATGCCTAAACCTTTCTGGGAAAGGATTCAGAGGTGCTGCCAGATGGCAGCACGGTTATGCGACAAGAGAATCGTAATTCGCCGCGCCAGTGGGCGTCGCGTGCGACGTCGCGCCCGCTAATGACGACGATTTTAGGTGGTATTGGTCGAGAATAGACAATGTATGACCAAAAATAGACATAAGGGTCGATGATGTCCTTGTCTACATGGAATCCTATGCTCCAGTCGAACGGTTAGTGCGAAACAAGGAAATGTCGCGCCCATTGCCGCGCACGACGGCATTTTACGATTCTCTTGCACGTTTCATGCCAGGTCCCCAACTACGTAAGCGCCCCTAGGCCGATCGAAAACCTTGCTTTTCTTCTCGTTTTTCTTCTTCTGATGTTTCTTCCTCCCAGTTATTGATGTTTCGCTCACAACCATCGACCCTTTCACAGTATTTCTACTTTATTTCTTATTTCCATTGGAAAATGAGCTTCCATTTCAGCTGCAAGCAGTCCGATGTGGCAGAGCTGTTGGCTAGTGCTATTGCTTAAGATATCGAATCTAATTATCATATAATCCTATTTGTTGATTGCTGTAGGGGTTCTGTTGTCGGTTTTACGGTAAATAGTCGTAATATACTGAATTTATTGTTTTTATTTATCTGTAATGTTCTGTGATGGCGTCATAAATTTATTTAAAATAGATCTTATAATTCATTCCTGTTCGTTCACAAGAGTCCCTCGACTGGAGTTCGGAGGGTGAATGACGTTCTTAGAATTCCAATCGAGACCGCCCATTTATTGTATCCTGTTGTGCCTGAGCGAATAAATGTGAATGATATCGTTTTGATCCTTACAATTCGGAAGAGTGCGTTTTGATGATGGCTCCGTTGTGCTCAGTCGTTTTCAGTCGGTTACTGAGTTACTGATTTTTAAGTTGATGTTGATCCTATCACTGCTGTGTGTAGTTGGTGTGGTCACATCGAGTACGGAATGTATTTGGGCCGTAGGAAAACTTGTATGTAATAAGAATCAGACGCGAGTGCTGAACTCGGTCGTCGAGGTATGGGACAAGGATGGACCGAGAAGCGTGAGTTTTTTAATGGCTTTTCAACTAAGAGTACATGATAGTTCTTTTAGGGAGGTGTTATAAGCTTTCGAGGCGTCTTTAAAAATTTTTCATTATGATGCCATTTCTTTCTCACCTTGAGTATAGTGTTGTTCGTTGCAGACGCTAAAGCATCTCAGGGGCTGGGTTTGGCGCCTCGCCAACCTGTTCTCCACCAGCAGTGAAAGCTGGCAGGCGGCCATAATTGGTGAAAAACTGGCTAGCGCCGCGCCAAATCCAGCCATCCTCCTGACACGCCCCGTGTGCGTAAACGAAACCATTGTTTTGATGGGCCTAGGCAGTCTATTCAAGACCTTTTCTAGGCCCGTTTGTTACCCTCACGATTTGTTTCAGATCAAAATCATAGATATACTAGATCCAGATGATAAGGCTGGATTGACTGTGGTAGATGATGAGAACGGCATATTCAAAGTAGAAGGTACAGTTTCCTGTAGTATTTTGAAGGTTGATTTTTACTTTGTTCCGTCTTAATATCGTTTTGCGTTACGTGTTTGCTTATGGACAAGAGTTATTGCAGGCTGTGCAGCAGATTTCGATTGGCTAGGACCGATTCATTTGAATCGACCGGAGTTCTACTTGAAAGTCAGGCATACATGCAACTCGGATAAGTAAGTCTTTTTATTCATTGAATGTGAAATTTGTTACATAGGGTTATGGCGTATCAGGGTCTACGGACAACTTGAGCTCATGTCCTTGAATTGTGTCCACTTTCTATTTTTCTCTGCGCACTCTCACATGATATTCTATGTCCACACTGACCTTACACATTCCTCTTTTCCATAAATGATAAGTGGCCCATCCACTCCTGAATCCCTACCTCTGGAAAAGCTCATCCTCTGTCATGTCTCTCGCACCTTCCGATGCCTTGGTAGCCGCAGTCCTCTAACTTTCTGTGCTCTGGCCTTTCGCGCTGGAACCTCCATCAAAGTTCTGGTAGTCAGCTTAACCGGCGTATCAGTGCTATTCCTATATAAGCTGAGGCATTTCAGCGCCTAGCACCCAAGGCATTCAAAAGTGCAACGAGGTGCAACCTGCCTATGAAATACATATCCTGCACTAGGCAACTCGACAGAATCACACAATTTCGGCTTTTTTCGGCCAATTTCAATCTTCACAGCAAAACTCCCCATCCTTTTGGCTCACACGTTTCTCCGCACCCCTAAATGTCCCTTCATGCTAGAGTAGGGCCTTTTATTCGCTGTAAAACTTACACTCATTGCACAAAATACGTCCCCACTTGGCTCTGCGCAACTTCCGTGACTATTTTTACGCGCTTTTTTCCTTGCTTATCTTAGCTTCAGAGTGACTAGTTGTGAGGTTACGGGTGCACTCGTTCCTCGTAGAGAAACCTCTCATGGCTCTTTTTGAAGAACGAAAGTAAAGAGCTTTTTCGTCAATGAAAGAGTGGCAAGTGGGAGAGAGGGCGAGACAGTACCACATGTCTTTGCATAATGCGCATTCCTTTTTTTGAATTCGCTTTCGTATTCTGTAAGGACTGCCCTTTGAAAGACTGGTTTCCATTTTTTTGCACGCTCAACAGGAAAAGTTGGAGATTACTTTAGGGTCCTGCCCTTTCATGTGAAATAGTTATCCACGATGACATTCTCTTTATACAGCATGGAAGAAATTTCTGTCTTTCCGCCACGAATGAAGGTGTTTGCTCCAAACACGATGGACTATTTTCTTGAGAATCCGATAGTTCTTGATTCGGATTGATTCGCCGGACGATGGCCTGACTGCCGTTCAGTGATGGAAGCTTTAGAATGATTTTTAGTCTGTATAATACGGTTTCGATCTGATTATTTTGCATACTTATTGCATATATTGTTCATATGTTTCATAAACGATTTCCGCTTTATTTGTTTGCCTGATCAAAGAGGATTTGATTCCATTGAAATTCTGGTTTGATGGACGGTTGCATCTGTTTATGGATACCGCTTTTGGTCGTCAGCGTGGATTGATGGTATTTAATTGGTTATAATTATTTCAATTGCTCACTCATTTCACGTGTTCACTCATTCGACAACCAGGAAAACTTTTCTCAAAGACAGATTCGAATCCCTTTCAGCGACCAAATACAATCCCTCCCCTCGCTGAGGATCCCAACGTACGACGTGCGAATCGCCTCCGACCTCAACTTTTCTGAACTTTGTGAAGGCTTTGCGTCTTTTGAAGAGTGTAACGGGCTTAATGTAATCATGACTCATGTATCATGCATAATTTCGCTACTTTTATGCATCCAGAGTCCAGCTGGGTTTTACTATTTGGGCGTTGGTCGATCACTATTTTTCTCTGGGGATTGAGAAGGTCCAACATCCCCCCGCATAAACCATTATGAGAATCTAATACGGTTTCGGTCAGTCTTTCAATCCTTTTAAATGGGAATGAGGCGTGGCGTATAACAATCGGGGCACGTCTTGGACTCTCTCCGACCCCCCCCCCTTTAGCGATGTGTACTGTATCGTTCATGTGTCCTTATAGTTGAAGGTGAATGTGAGCGAAAACTCAACACAATAAGCTTGAGGTTTCAGAACTCGGCGTAACTAAACAAAACATATCAGCACAAGAGCTCTTATTTAAGTTGTGCCGAGAACCGGGAGTTCTGGAAGAGGAAGGTATAGCTATAGGCGCACACCTCGCCGGTGGACGAGTTTTTTTCGGGAAATGGGGGAACTGGCAGTGAAGAGAGGTAAGGAAGTTAATGCTTGTGGAATACACGTGGAAACAGCGTGCACGATCGTCGTGAGAATCCTTTCGAAAGGGGGTGGGGACGGAGGGGCGAGGAGGCGTTGTGCGTATTTGGGCGAAAGTTCTTTGACTGCTTGGCGGACAATTCGGCGATTGGGGGTGGCAACTACGACTGGGGGGTCTCGTAAATAGGTGGCGGGAGTACTTCTCGAGTTCTCCTTTTTTGAGGTCCTGCTATCACCGCGCACTCTTCGGTCTCCGATGAGGTGCAGTGTTGTTTCGCTTCTGATAGTGGGGCGAATCGAGAGGCACTCGGTTTGGCGCAACGCCAACCTGTTCCCCACCACTTGTCGAAGGGCAGTTGACAACAGTTTGCAGATGAAGGGTTGGTGCTGCGTCAAATCCAACCTCTCCTAGTACGCACCAGCGTCCGCGTCCGCAGCGAACAAGGTCCTACTGGGTTGGAAGGGTTATAGCAGAGAAGCGGAAGTCAGGGGTGGTACTGAGAACTATTCTTATTCATGAACCTGGACCCGCACCGGACTACTAAATGTTAGTTCCAACGGTCTGCGTGGTTCTATTCTAGTTCAGTTCCATTCGATGATCGTGTATAAAAAGCGATGAGAAACGAGAAGTAGCTTCAAAAAAGCGGAAATATGACAATAATGGCTGCTTTCCTTGGCACCACCCGAAACCCAAAACCTGTAGTGGAACGTCGTCAGATGCCAATGCGTCACTTTAAACCAATCAACGGAACGTCTGCTAATGTTTCTCATCTTCTCTTTGTCACACAAGGAAAGTCAGTTATCTAATATCATATCTAATCTAATTTTTTGGCGTGATTCCGAGAAGATATCCAAAGAAGGACTGTTTCTTTGCTCTCACTGCGTTCTCCTCCTCTTTTCTTTTCTTCTTTTCATTTCTTTTACGCTTTTACGCCTTTCAAGGGATGAAGCCGAAGGGAGAAAAGTGGGTTTGGGAGACTTCTTTCGTCACTTTCTTTCGCAACTACCTCTCAGGACTGGGTCAATTCGCAATATATTATGCAAGTGGGGCTTAATAGGAAGATGGGATTTGATTGCTAAAGAAGGTTTTGATTGTCGTGAAAACTTCTTTGCTAAGTACGACCACACCGTTCCCCCCCCCTCAATTTCTCCTTCAGTACGTCCCCCATTCGACATCTAGCCGCAGCCAACTCATCAAAGCCCCGAGGGCTTTTGCAGTCGAGCAGGGAGGAGTAACACTTCTGGTCATCTTTCCTACTATCAGAAATAGCAGTGGTCATCTTTCCTACTATCAGAAATAGCAGCTCTGCCGCGAAACTGCAGTCTTGATCCCCTGCAAACGATAGGGCATGTAACCGGGCGTGGATTGGAGCGCTGCCAAGAAGGACTTTTTCCACCAATGATAACATCCTTAGCCTGCAACAAAAGGCGGAAAAGACTATTTTGGCTGCGCTCCAACTCACACACCTTATGAGCTATCGTTGTTTGGCAGGATCGGACTGGGTAGTTATGAGATGTGGAATCAAGTAGCGGCACGCGTACGAAATGGAAAGAAATCAGCTGTCCTATAACTGTCTCTAAGAGAAATTGTGACGCCTTCTCCGTGTGATGATATGGCCTTATGCTCAATCCTGCAGCGCTCTCCGGACTACTTCCCGGATGAGGACGTGGGTTAATTTTGCAGTGGCTTTCGTGACGCTCCTACATTCACCCCAACGCATTTATGCTATTTGTCCTAGTTCTCCAGTAGCTTCCTTGTAGGAAATCTGGCGATATTGCATGCCATTTTCACTTGTTTTTATTTGTTTTTTTTTCCACACTGATACCGTCCTGGCACTTGTCCTGCTCCCTTTGGTGATTACTATTTTATTTATCTCAGTTTATTCAATTATTTGTTTATTTATTTTACATTGAAATAGCGTGTCCCAGAAATTAGTAAAGCAAAACCTAGAAGAATACTCATTCACCAATTAAAGCCCATATGATGCAAGTGGGGCTTGATAGGGAGCTGGGTTTCGATCGTCAAAGGAGACGGTCGTACTTGTGTCAGACTGTTAGAAGGGCAGTTTAACAGAAGTCTGACCTCCCTGTTCTGCCCATTGTGGCGGCCGAAAACATAAAAGTTTCTGAACTGTTTTTTTCAAACCAGTTGTTGATTAACAAAAGTGAGTCATAAATCGAGTTTTTCGAGAGCACTTCGTTTTTCTTCTAATTTCGACGAACAGTTCTGACTACTTGACTACTTCTTCGGAAACTATTACAATGATGATTGGCTAGCATTCTGCATCAGTGGAACCTGCAAGTTAGTAAGTGAAGTTCTCACGAAATGGGCGTCTCTCGATTAATTCCGTCTCCTTCGTTTCACTTATTCACTTATTAGAATGTGCAAAAAGTCCTGAGGAGTTCTCCGAAAGTTTTATCCTTTGGACTACAATATATAGTTCAGAGGGGTGGAGGGGGGGGGGG